CTCCAAATTAGAGTCAGGGTTTGCAAGAACTGTGGGATTCTCCTGTAGTAAGGAATGTAGATGTTTGTGGTAGCAACGGGGACTAGTAGGAATCTTCTGCTTACCTTTTCCCCACAAGGGGAAGTCTCTCCTGTTTGTGGACCAATCTGACCTGGAAAGGGGAGACGGAGCTGCAGAGGCTGGGTGTCTCCACACTGCCCTTCTGGGCTTCCACTCACCAAGTGCCAGGTTCTCTATTCAGTCATCTTGCTAAAGCTCTCTTGCTAAAGTCCATAAGTGTATTTATTAATATCAACAACCAGATAGAGCAAAACAAAGACTTTTTTTTTTAATTTGAAGATGGCAGAGAATAAGATTAAGATCTAGTTGGCAGGTTCCCATCACTCCTTAAAGACTTTCTTTGTCTCAACCTTTCAGCAAATTAACAACGGCTAGCTTAATACACATAGCAGACCCTCAAAAATGTTCAATGAAAGAATGGCCCTACCCAACACATAATGTAAGAACTATCAATCTCTGGTGGGGTGGGGTAGGGGAGAACAGAAATAAGATGGTAATAAGGAAATTCTCTAATAAACATTTTCTCCAGGAAACTTTCACAGAACATGAATTTTAGCTCTACTAATTTGCAATTTGTGATAAATCAAGTTGAAGCTATCTATGCTCAGTACTTTTAAAAGGCCATTATGATTAATAAACTAATTCATAGTTACTGGGCACTTACTATGCAAAAGACCACAAGCACAGTGCTTTTCACACAGTATCTCATTTAATCTTTAAATCAACTTTATCCAACAGAAACTATTACCCTGATTTCCAGATGTGGGAAACTGAGGCATAAAGACGTAAAGTAACTTGTATGATGTCACACTGCTCTTCTGTGAAGAAAATGGGCTTGTAAGCAAAGTCTGTCTAAATCCAAAGCTCTATGACCTCAATACAGTAAAACAAAATAACACTAATTAGCATCTGATAGCCTTTAAAAACAGAACACAGAAACCTTCATTTTAATAAATGTTAATTTTTAAGAATTATATATTGACATAATGTACTAGTTGCCAATCGTTCTTTCACTTCATTAAAAGAAGCCTCTTCCTCTATTTGCCATTTCATTAACCTACTCTAGTTACTCTGGATATTTAACCATAAAATTTAACTTTTCATAAAAATGAGTCCATAATTCATCTTTGTATCAGAATATCCTCTATCCTCAGCCCAAATTTCTGAAGGTTTAATATATTTTAATAAAAAGCAAATAATCTTGTAACGTGTATGGAGATGTGTATTCACCCTCTCTTTTTCTCTCCCTCCTTCTACTAACTAAAAGCTGGCTACTGCTACCAGTATCTCCACAGTCTACACATTTCTTTTCAACATATGCATTCTATCTAAGTTGTAAAGAAAGGTACACAATGATAAATTTTAAAACCACATTTAGGAAGAAGATGACTATGTTTATGTAATGAGGATAATAATCCAGCTTCACATGTCTTCCCATCACATCTCTTGCTTTGCCTTTAACCAGTGTGAAAAATCTTTGTTAATTGTATTGCTTTTTAATATAATTATATCCCCCACAAAAGAAAATAAATACATACTACTATACCATACCAACATAACATTAATTTGGAAATAGAAATCATAATATATTCAGGAGACTTAGGGTTAAAGCCCTAATAGGTTTAACTGCAGAAGGATCTTTCATTACATGATCACATGAAATTGGGTCAGTGACAGATTATGTAGTAAATAATATTCAGGAAAATATTTATCTATAATCTCTTTATCTTACATATATAACATTCTGTGTGACTGCATATACTGATATATAATCTCATTCTGAAAGAGTATATTATAAATACATACAAAAAAGGGGTTATAGCTATGCCAAAAGTAAAAAAAAATAAAACTAAAAAAAAGTCTTGTCTTTTATGCTATTAAATCTCCAACATAACATTGCATTAATTTCTTGCATAAATTCAAATAACTTGTACAAATATTTGTTTTTAAAACCTGGGCATGCCACCACCAGTCCAGTCCAATAGCCCATCTACTCTAACAGCCTGTCTTTGACAGTGACCAACAGTGGATGCCTCACAGGACAGCATACACATAACATAATGTATATAATTATGCATCACTACACCATTTTCCCAAGTGGTAGTTAGATTATATCCTGAAAAAAATTAAAACAAATTATAACCCCTCTCCCACAGATACTCTATAATTTCTCATAAGGTAATGTGAAGCCTCCTTTATAAAGCACATACTTAACCATAATATAAGCCAATGCTTTGTATGACAACTAAAATGAGAAGCTGAACCCAGAAATAGAACTTAAGCTCATCAAAACATGATTTGCCAAAGGGGGATTTTCAATGAAATGAAAAGCATCTGATTCGCTCAATTAAAAAGAATCATTTGCAAAACAGATGAGCAAAATTTAACTAAAGGTTTTAAAAAGCAAACTACAATTTCTACCCAAGCCATAACATTTCATGATATGTAACACTATTTTCCAGAGCATATGATAATGCCTGTATTTTTAACTCCTCAGAGAAATGACATTCACACCTGTGTCATCATGGTTTTAAATTAAGCTTGAACTTATTAAATGCTCATGCAGTGTGCAAAGCCACATAATACAGAAATCTTGGTTTGGTCTTTCAGGAAGCACTGCTTCCTAAACAATTACAGAGAAAAAAAAATGTACTACATTTTTTAAGACCTTTGGAAAAGATAATTCTCTTGGTAATGTATGTAGGTATTGATTTAACAACCCTTGTAGTCAGGAAATAATACCTAACCTAAATTCTCCATGGTAAAATTTGAAGTAATTTTCTCTTTTTCTGACCTCAAATAAGTTGGGAAACATCGAGTCATACAATATTTCACATACATTCATGTGTTGCATAACAATGTTTCTATCAACAATGGGCCACATATATGATGGTGGTCCCATAAGATTATAATGGAGCTTTTATACCATATTTTTACTGTACCTTTTCTATGCTTACACACATAAATACTCACTATTGCGTTATAACTGCCTACAGTATGGTAACATGCTATACAAGTTTGTAGCCTAGGAGCAATAGGCTGTGCCATATAGCTTAGGTGTGTAGTTGGCCATACCATATAGGTTTGTGTAAATACACTCTATGTGATGGTAAATATTCAGTGTCAACTTAATTGGCGTGAAGGATGCAAAGTATTGTTCCTGGGTCTGTCACTAAGGGTGTTGCCAAAGGAGATTAACATTTGAGTCAGTGGACTGGGAGAGGCAGACCCACCCTCAATCTAGGTGGGCGCTCTAATCAACTGCCAGCATGGCTAGAATAAAGCAGATTTGCTGAGTCTTCCAGCCTCCATCTTTCTCCTGTGCTGGATGCTTCCTGCCCTTGAACATGAAACTCCAAGTTCTTTGGCTTTTGGACTTTTGGACTTACACTGGTGGTTTGCCAGAGGCTCTCAGCCTTCAGCCAGACTGAAGGCTGCACTGTCGGCTTCCCTACTTTTGAGGTTTTGGGACTCGGACTGATCCACTACTGCTTTCCTTGCACTTCAACTTGCAGATGGCCTACCGTGGGACTTTACCTTGTGATCATGTGAGTCAATTCTCCTCAATAAACTCCCTTTCATATATACATCTATCCTATTAGTTCCGTCCCTCTAGAGAACCCTAATATATACTCTATAACGTTCACACAATGAAACTGTCTAACAATACATTTCTTAGAACATATCCTGTTGTTAAACAACACATGACTATATTTGAAAACCTTTATTAATGTCTCTTTTTCTAAGTCACTGCATTGCAGAACTAGGAACCAAAAAACAGTCATGTATTGAGTTCAGTTTTATAATTTTTCTCTGCTATCTATCACAGCCCAAGAGACCGGTCTCAAAATTACTAGCAAACCCATAGTTTTTACCAAGAACTTCTTTTCTCCCTAATACACTCTTTCTCAAAAAAAAAAAAAAAAAAAAAATTATATTTCAGAACAAACCCAAAAATGTAGAAGAGGAAGTTTATAAGAGACAGAAGCAAGAAACAATGCATATAAAATTCCAACGTAGACACTTCTTTCTTACCTAAAATAGGGGATCATTTAATGAAATGTATTGCTCAAAACCTCTGGGACAGAGCTGAAACTGCAATGCAATATCATAAAATCTGCAGCTGTGTTGCTGTTCTTAATAGTCCATGTTGCTTTCTTAGACCACAGGAAGCCAAAACACACACTGTCAGACCTAAACTTACCTTCACAGGAATTGACCAAAGCAGTGGAGCAGTTATGATAGACCATGCAGCAAAACGGTTATTGAAAAGATTGTACACATTCTTAGGAATTTTCTACTCAAATAATTTGCTCACTCCAGAAAAGCTGTTTCCAAATATCAAATCTTTCTTTGTAGGAATTAAAACTACAGGATAGGCAAATGTCTCAATAAGTCCTCTGTTTGGGCTGCCATAACAAATGACATAGACTATGGCCTAAACCACAAACATTATTTCTCAAACTTCTGGTAACTAAAGTCCAAGATCAAGGTACTGACAGATTCAGGATTCAGTGAGGGCATTCTTCCTGGTATACAGACAGTCAGCTTCTTGCCTATCTTCACATGGCAGAAAGAATTATTCTCTCTCTCGTGTCTCTTATGAAGGCATTAATCCCATTCTCTTTTTTAATTAAATAGAGACAAGGGTCTCACCATGTTGGCCAGGTTTGTCCCAAACTCTTGGCCTCAAGCAATCCCCCTGCCTTGGCCTCCCAAAGTGCTGGGACTACAAGCATTAGCCACTGCGCCCTGCCAGATGTCATTCTTAAGGGCTCCACTCTTATGACCTAATTATCTCCCAAAAACGCCACTTTTAGACACCATCATTTTGGGGATTAGGTCTTCGACATATATATTGGGGGTGAGGGGTGACACAAACATTCTGTCCACAAAAGCAAGTAAACTGTACCATACATAAATAAGCAGTAATAACTTACTTTTATTGCCTACCAAGGCAACCAGTGGCTGAGTTTCTGACTCCTCGCTCACTTTCTTCACCACAGTATACCAATCTTCTAAATTCTCAAAGCTTTGATAATTTGTAATATCATATACCAAGAGGACTCCCTGTCACAAAAGAGTTACAAAATATCTGTAAAGTACTATTTGGTGAAAAAAATCTTAATGAATACTTGAGTAATGCTTCAGATATGTCAAAATGGATGTAAAAATACAAATGTGTATTATATATAAACTTATATAAAATGTGTTTTATATATAAACTTCCATTTAAATTGCTTACTAGCAGATTGATAATAGTGACTGTTTTCATTCAAGACAAATCCAGCAACTAAGATGCAATGCAAGCTAAAACATAATTTTATCAAAATTGTAAGCAGTCTTCCAATAAGATATCTGGAATATGCTTGGTAAGTTACAGTAAATATAAGAAAATCATATCAAAGAAGTAGAAAAGGCTACAACATCTACAATCCTACCTCTCACTTTCATGAGGTCAAACATTAAAACTTTTCAATAAATATTCATCTGCTGCTACTCTTTTTAAACATTTTCAAAAACAAAGATTCCATGATATCCCTTGATAGACAATTTAAGTGTTTAATACAATTTTCTTTAAATGAAATGTCGATTTCCTCTTTTAGTCCACTGTGCATTTGGAGAACCTGAGAGCATCTTTCTTAAACTAACCATTCATATACTTGAAGATAGTTAAGTAACTCCTCTACCATCTCCTTTCCAGAGTAAACAAACTCAGTTCCTTAAACTTGCCTCAAAGGGCCTATTTTTCTATCCCTTTAATCATAGCTGCTGATTCTTCCCAGGACACACTACATATAGTTTTTTGACATCCTCTTTAAAATGAGCAATGTAAAACTGGACATAATACTGTAATAAGAGTCTGAGCAATGCCAAATATAACAGAAGGATTGCTTCCTGCCTCTTATATATCATATTCCTTTTAATTTATCTCATTATTTTGTGTGGGAAGGAGAAGTATATATGCACACAAAAATAACAGTACTACATTCCTGATTCTCATCCAGTTTGTGGTCAAACACTTAATACAAAGCTCTACATACAGTATAAGCCTGAACCCTAATGGCATTTATGTCGACTTCTTAGGTTATAACAGTAGTAATCAACTACTTCTGTGCACCTACTGTATACCAGACACACGTCAAGGTCTTCTCATTAATACTCACACCAATCATGAAAGGCTGGTATTATGATTTCCATTTTAAATAATAAGCAGAGGTTAAAATAACCAAGGTCATACTGATAGGTAAGTGATGGAGCCAGGATTTGAACCAAAGACTAAATAATTAAAAACATTTGTCTGTCAACTAAACTCCAAGTATTGTGCTGGATTCTACAGATGTAAGTTCCAAACCATAAGGAACTCACAGTCTGGCAGCAAAACTAAACACATAAATAAGTACAGAACACAGAAGTCATAACTAGTGAGACACTGGTAAATATTAATCAATTGGCTTGGGGTTCAGGGCCCAGCAGGGGTGAGTTTGCCATAACGTTTGCCAATTTTCATGGTGTAAATGCTAGCCTGTGGTCATTTTTAAGCTATCAATATGACACCCACTGAACAGAGTTGGGGAGGTCACCAATATAAAACATTTCCACCATATAGATATAGCAGATGTAAACAACCTCAAGAACACAGATAACAGAAATACATAGCAAAATAATTAGTGATAGAGATTAGGCATATAAATACCTTTGTTTTAATACAATGTGTGACTTTATATGTAATTTTTCATTGTAAAAGTTTTTAATAACTGGCTCACAAAAACTGCTAAAAATTTAACAATTAACTCTCTGAAGCTAGAGCAAGCCAGCCCTAGCATACTTCTGTTATGACCTTCCAGGATTATTATTCTCTTTTATTAAACCATATTGGCCCCCAAGTTACCTAGCTTCTCCATGTCTCAGGTTTCTTATCTCTAAAATTCGATATTTGAGTTAGATGGTCTCTAAGATCCCTTTCGCTTTAAATATTCTATAATATGCAAAATCACTCATCGGGTTCATTTTGGTGACTTGAACATCTATTTCTGTCTGTCTTCCAAGATGGTTTGAAATAATGCCCAACATAGAATTGTCTAAAACAAACAGTATCTCACTTTTCTTATTAAGAATAAAGCCCCAGAACTAATATCTGAAGATTAATCTTCAATCTACTGGCTCCATGACATGGCTCCAACTGCCATGGGTGATATCATACATTATTTGTTGAAAAGAGCTCTACACTGGAACTCAGGTTGCTGTTGGATTCCAGTCCTGGTCCCATCTATTGATCTTGGGCAACACTTGTTACCTCACTTTTAAAACACCTGATATGCCTACATTATAAAGCAAAATGATAAAAGAACTTATTTTACAATTAACATACCACATGCAATTGTATATTTTTTTTTTGTTATCAACTACGTGAAGAAGAATCACATTTTTATGGCAACTTTGAGGTAGGTTTTAAACTCACAAATAAAGCCTGGACCTCTGCCTCTTAAGACCTTTTGAACCCTTTTGATTAATATATGAAAACCTTTATCCAAACATGGGACAATACCTGAATATGGTAAAATATATGCAAATAAAACATGGCCACCATCTACTGATATTCAGTACGGGATGAGAGCTATGGAACAAAAACATTAAAAACTGTTCTTCTAGACCACAAATTGGTAAATACAGCCATGGGTCAAATCTGGCCCACACTGTGTATCTGTAGATAAACTTTTACTGAAATATGGTCACAATCATTTGTTCAAGTATTATCAGTGGCTGCTTTTGTGCTACAACTGCAGAGCTGAGTGGCTACAACAGAGACAACATGGCCAGCAAAGCATAGAATATTTACTATCTAGCTCTTTTCAGGAAAAATCTGCCAATCTCTGATCTAGACAAATGTGTCCCAACATTTTGCAGTTGGTGATTCCTAGAAATCTTTCAGGATTCACAAAAAATATAGAAGGATAAACTCCTGTTCACTCACCTAGCTATCTAGCAACACAAACATCTCCTTGTTCATATTCTCAGTACCATTTATAATGTAAAAACTATTATTTTTCCTTGTTCTTGCCATAATAACTAGTACCACTGTGGTGAAATTCTGAAATGAAAAAATGAGAAAACTAAAAATGTTAAAATATAAAAGGAATTATAGGACCTTCAATTTCAACTCTGACATGTAAAAAAAAAAACTTGGAAGTCATCACTCCTGTCCTTACAATAAGAAAAAGGCAGAACAAACAGAAAAAATCAGTGACTTTTCTTGGACTCATCAGAAAACTGATATTACAAGGCAAATCATCACCCTGAAATCTGGAAAGACAAACAAATCCAAAAAGTTACAGCCAAGATCTGCCTACCTGGAGTAGCAGCCTCTAGAAATAGTAGTGATAATTTTGACAAACTGCTGGAGGCTGACTGAGGTCTAGCTTAGGAGTGAGCAACTCCTAGAGGGCCCCTCAGTCTTAGGGGCTACCTCCACACTTGCATGGATATACGACCAGATTCCAGATATCCCACCAGATTATCAGTAAAGAAACAAGAAAGACCCTCTCAAGGCTCTGGCATGAAGAGAGGAGAAAAGTAACCATTGTGAAATATGCCCAGAGCATTAGCCACAAAAAAGGCAAACTCTCCGGAAGAAATGGCTTAATCAGAACATTGTATTCCATCTGGAAAGAGAAGTTCCCAACTCCAGCCTCCTGTAGCCAGTCTGTCTCATCTAACCGGGAGGAGAAAGAAACACGAGTGAAGGTCACAGTACCGAAATACAAGCTCACTAAAGACTAAAAGTTTATCATAAAAATATAGCATGCTTCTCCTCCCCCATACTTTACCACACCACCACCAGGGCACCAACATCTGAAAGAGCTGCAAGACAGATTTCACCTAAAGAGTTTCTGGAGATACCAAAAAAGACTGTGAGGCAAAAACAAGGATACTAGAGGAATCAATGCCTCTGGCACCCACAGCTAAAGTAAATATGAAATACAGCACAACGTAAAACCTCACACTAAGTCTATTTACCTGAATCTTATTACTCAGTATACCATGTCCAGCTTTCAATATAAAATTACAAGGAATTTCAAAAGGTAATTTGAAGAGAGAAACCAAGCATCAGAACCAAACTATGATATGAAACAGATTTTGTAATTACTAGACAGGCAATTTTAAGTAACTATGACTAATGTGTTGAGGGTTCTAAAGGAAAAAGAAAACATTATGCAAGCACAGATAGGGATAATAAAACAAGGGATAATAAAAACGAAATGCTAGATATCAAAAACACTGTAACAGAAATAAAGAATGCCATTGTTGGGTACATTGTTGGACACAGCATAGGAAAAAAAAATCAGTGAACTTAAAGACAGGATAATAGAAACTTCTACAACTGAAATGCAAAAAGAACAAAACAATGTATAAAACAGAACACCAAAGAACAGTGGGACAGTCCGAAGTGGTGCATCACACACACAGCTGAAGTATCAGAAGAAGACAGAATCAAGCTTAGGGAGTATTTCAAGTAACAGTCACCAAGAAATTGCCAAAATTAATTAGACAACAAACCACATATTTAAGAATCTCAGAGAACACCAATTTGCATAAATACCAAAAACTCTATATCTAGGCGTATATTCAAATTGCTCAAAAGAAAAAAAAATGAGAAATCTTGAAAGAAGCTAGAAGAATAGGGAAAATATCCATAAATGAAAAAGCAGAAAAATTACAGAGAACAACTCATCAGAAACCATGCGAATAAGAAGAGAACGAAGTGAAATCAGCAAATGTAAAAGAACAGAAATTATAACAAACTGTCTCTCAAACCACAGTGCAATCAAATTAGAACTTGGGATTAAGAAACTCACTCAAAACCGCTCAACTACTTGGAAACTGAACAACCTGCTCCTGAATGACTATTGGGTATGTAACGAAATGAAGGCAGAAATAAAGACGTTCTTTGAAACCAATGAGAACAAAGACACAACATAACAGAATCTCTGGGACACATTTAAAGCAGTGACTGTCCCAAGTAATTACAGAATCAATGATCCCCATCAAACAGCTTACCAAGGATTGCT